TTCATATGAAATCTTAATCCAAAAAGAACGAGCAGGAGAAAAAAGACTAAACATTGTATAACCACAAAAGGACAACAAACAATACGTTTCTATTTTCCTCGTTTTCCCAGCTATAGCGTTAGAAACAAGCGATGACATAACTAAACGTATTAAAAAGAAAAAATAAACAGCACAGTCTAAATTAATAAAAAGTTTTTAATAGAATTTCTGGTTTTTCTTCCAGCATTTTAGTTTCCTTATGAAAGCTCGTTCATAACCAAGTAAACAAAGACGTGAAAGTTCTCCCTCACAACATTTAATAGGTTTCGCCAAAAATTTGGTTTAATTTGGCAAAATTTCGACACACTATTGTAACTGGAAAGGTCAGGATTTCCTTTATGGTTTTTCCTTATTCTTAAAATAAGAATAACATTAAAAACTTTTTGATTACGAGGCTGTTGGAAAGCATTTAGCAAATATAAACCAAAAAAAGGGCACACCTTTAAACCGGTAAACCCGAAAATACCCGAAAATTGCAAAATATAGATTTTAGAAAGTGGGTATCCGATAAATCAAGCTACCTTTCCTTCAAAATCTGATTCAAACTATAAACCAAAATTAACTGCTAGACTTCGACCTTGGGGGAGGCCTATAGCAGTGGTCGTCTTGTGTGTGGCTTACATGATGATGTTAGACCTCGATATTGCGCGAACAAATAATGAAAATCAATGAAAAGTTGTAAAATATGGAAAACAGTACCTACCACGCACCTCATAAACACGTTCTTAAGTTTCAATGTTTAATGGCTAAATTAAGAAATCAGTTCTGTGCGCCAATATCTCAGTTTTATGATAAGTACTTACGTCGATTGACCCTGCACCTCACACAGCTGAGCAGTGAGCCTAAGCAAGGTTACTAAGATTCAACCTTCAACAATTATCCAGCTAGATCATGCTATAAGCTATGTACTCACTGTTGACTGTCCGTCACTTGAATATTCATAAATATCAGTGGCGTGCAGTCCATATAGGCGAAAAGGCATTGCCTAACTATAAATATCGTGAATATATAACATACATATAATGTACAAACAAGTTTATTAAAATTCAATAAAATAATAAAAGTTTGTAAAAAAACGGCTAACATAAATACGCGCCTTTGTAAAGTAATGAATGCGCCCCGCACGCACCACGCATGCGCCACTATTCCTTAAATCTTGGTTGGCAGTAGTGACGTCACAAAAGAAATGTACCAAAAGTATGCACCGCGCATGCGTGAAGTTCACGACCATAGTCACGGTACAGAATAACCATTCATAATTATATTACGCGATTCCTGTTGATTGACAAAATGTTTGCAACTAAAAAATTAGAGGACCGTTCGTTCATCACTTGGAAAACGATCGTATTTTATTAAGAATTCTAAATACAATAAAACAACAACAAGTTATTGTATTTTTAAAAACAATTAAATCATAAAAGGATTTAAATTGATAAAATTTGTATGTATATCGTAAAGTACTGATGAATGGAGTACACCAGCGCCATCTATTGAATTTTTTGTTGAAACTTCTGAACTCGTTCGATATAATGCGAATGTATTTTTATAAATGCGTATTTAACAAATATTTTTCAAGTGTTTTAATTAAAGTTTAACATTTTTACGCGTTGTCGGTTTATAGAAATTTTAAACGAGGAGTTGACTTTATTATTATAAAAGTTAAAAGGAAGTTATTGATACGTCAAGATGGCGCCATTTACAACGTTTCAAATTATATGAATGAATGTTTTTTAGTATGAAATATTGGTTTAAGACGATGATGCAATTTCATTTGACTTACTAAATTAACGTTTGTTTTTTTGAAATTAAACGCTGCGTTACCTTAATTTTTAAGCTACATTTTTTTTATAATAAACACTCAATTGACTATTGGTAATGACTTCAATTCATTTCCAATGTTTTCGGCCATATTGTTTTCATGTGATGTGCGATCGCTTTGTTTATGTTTTCGTTTAAATTATTAGGAATTAGTTTTAAACATAAAGTTGCATAAATGTGTAGTAGTAGTTAAATATATGTGTAGGTTTTTCAAATAGTGTATTTGTTTCTCAGTTTCTAGTACAAGTACCTATATTATTCGATTGTGAAGTGTGTGTGAATAATAGGTAATTTTATGTGTTTGTTGAAAGTAAAAACAGTAAGATTTCGCAATGTCCTTTATCGGACTAGATTCAGGTAATGACCATAGGCAGAGGTGTACTCGAGTTACGAGAATTGACCCAAGTAAAAGGTAGGTAATGTAAATATGTACTATAATGGATCTTTTATTTGATTTTCTTGTTTATTGTTTGATAATTCTTAAAAATATCAACTTAGACTTCGGGTTGTACTGATTCACATATTAATTTATTATTAATATTTATGTAATGTAGTAATAACAAATGTACCGCATAGACTCGGCCGGCTCGGCCACAGCCGGCCGCGCTTGTTATTGTTTTGTTTGTTGACATAATGTAGGTACCTACGCTCTTAAATTCGTAATATATTATGATTTTGACCAGATTGATTAACCTTAACAATTCCATAATGAAATTTGGTTCATCAAATTTATGCTTCATTATTAAAATAAATAATAGATCTTTCATTATTTGTAAGTTTTGTTGGCTTATTCAATAGCTGATGAAGTACTTCACAAAAAATACGCGAGATGTCAGTGTATGTAATTTGGCGAAACAATACACCACAATATTCTTGAACGCACTTTTCAAAATATATTATGTACATGTACCTATCTTGTGTGAGCATGATTGTATGACCGGCGGGGGGGAGGGGTTTAATCATACGATATTTAGTTGCCTACCCTGTCTCGAAAACCTGTGCACGCCACTGATAAATATCACTAATTTATGTACGCCGTGGAATATTTTATTTAAAATACGTGTTTCCTTGAGTCAGGTTAGGTTTTTTTTCATATAAGTTTACTCTAAAGATAATGTCCTCAACGGAATGTTTAATAACATATCTAAAAAACCTTCGTCATATTTTCTACCTAAGGTTTATCTAATCTATCCTATCTATCTATCTATTCTAAGGTGTCTTATCGTAAAAAGAGAAAAAGTTAGTCAACGAAATCGTCTTTAAAAAAATCTCTTCTTCCGATTCATTACTATTTATAACCATTACAATTTGTCCACCTTGTCCATCCCTATCCTAAACACCACTAAGCACACTTCACTACCCACATGCATCAGCTACACAAAATCAATTCATTAACTAGTTTAATTCCTCTCTACTAAGTAACCTGTCTATCATACCTTTCGTCATCAACTACAAACAATTAACAATCATGCAGTGACTTTAACATCTAAGCTATTTCTAGTCCACTGTCTACTGTTCTCTCTCTTGACTTTTACGTAAAATCCTTGACATTGTACGCACGTGTAAACGACACAGGTCTCCGAATCGATTTGTTTTTCTTGTATCAATAGTTACGTCACATTCTTTAAAATTAACAGCTATGGGCTATGTACGTTCGTAATGCTGTTTAAACAGTAAACAGTCCTAAAATAAGTGATCGGCCCATTTATAAAATTGCAGAGTTACCGCGTGGGAGTGCACGTGATATGTGAAATGAGCAAATGACACGTCGCGATGATGTCTGCGTAAACATGACTATGGAATATAAGAATGTTGCCTCCTTCAAATATGGTAACATCATACATGAGAATTATAAAAATCTAGCATATACTGGTTTAATGAAAATCATTAAAATTTATTTACTAAGTATTAACGTAGATACCATATACGTAATCCAAATAAACAAAGAAATAGGAGTATCCAAATGTTAGACTCTAAAAATAACAACAAACGATAACGATGACCTATAAATGTTAAATTCTAATGACTCTAAACCATTTGCGTTTAAAATAATGAAAATAGCTTCGACGCAAAACTAATTAAAACTCACTGCACAGCAAAATGCAAATGAGGCAGAATTTTCCTAGAGCTTAAACTATACATAAACACAAATGGGAATTTACTTCCCATTTTTTACTATGTTTATTAGACTAGAAAAAAAATACAAAAAATTTAGAACAATGTTCAAGCGTCTAATTTGTAAATATCTGTGGGTTATTAATAAATAATCAGTAGATATTCGAAGCACAGCATGGGCGGACACGTGTGCCAGTCGGTCACGTTGTGCCCCTCGAGGTGCGTTGCGCAAACTACAGAACAGTCTAACCGCCATCGTGACGTAATGCAGATGATAACCAAACCACGCGCTCTACTAGGAAACCAAACTTTATATCTTTAGTCATACCTAGCAAAATCCACGCACCAGGTGACACTGATAAAGCGGTCTTAACAGATATCAAGGGTGCCCAAAATTGCATTTTAGAACGTGTTTAAAAATGTGTTCGGTCAACGTAACTGCTTCTAAAGCATTTTTATTTAATACATGTGCAATTTTATTTATAACCTTACGTTCACGTTTTCCTTTGCACTTATTTGGATGCATCAAGGTTACGGTTTTAATTACGGTTGCTATTATGACTCTTTATAGTTTTTATATTAACAATTTTCCTTGCAATTACTTTGATTTTATGAAGAATAGAGAGGGCGAGTGATTTATCACAGACTTTTCATGTCATATCTGCACTGCACAGTCTAATGATAACTGCGTAATTTCCAACCAAGTCATGACAGTAATGATACCGTAGTCTGCAGTCTAACACTGTAAGCTAAATTATTTAGAAAACAAGTCACACAATTATGAAGCAACAACTTAATAAGTAGGTACTCATATATTTTTGTTGATAATAATTCATACACATTCACATTCAAGTTTAAAAATAAGGATTACGAAAAGTTGCATGCTAAACCCGTCGTATCCTATCAAAACTCAATTGATTAATGGTATAAACATACTGTCACTAACACAAAACAGATATAGGATAATATCTACCGAAGACGACGAGACAATTACCTAAACAAATAGATAGTAAAAGTGAGGCACTTGCCTCGGGGTGTTCCTAGACCTGGCGAGAGCGTCTGACACCCTCCCGCCTAATCTGCTCCTGAAAAATTTTAAATAATTAGGCATTGAATGCTTCAATTTATACCGAAGAGAGGGGGACGAGGGACTTTTAATATCGCTACCCAAATTAAATTTGTTACTATGTTATTGATTATTAACCTTCAAGTACTGACGTGGTTTACTCACGTGACTCATACCATAAACGGTGACGTGACGTCTATCAAACACCTTAATAATTAATCGAAATGGATTACTTGTATTTACTGATTTGCACAATATTTACTTGTATTCTAATCGGTCCATTATAATTCTATTAAGGAAGTGCAAAAAATACAACGTTCTCGGATGAAATCAGCGGTTTCTGATTGAAATTCTATAAACTTAAAATATAAATATTTCGCATAACTTAAAAAAATATATGTTAAAATCTTAGCTACAATACAATTATTTGGACGTTTTTTTGGAAAATTCTTATATTCGTGAACACGCCGTCTATGAGACACCCACGTCAGTAGTTAAAGGTTAACATGTGTTTATCATTGGTGTTCCTCAGGGTGTATTTTGGGACAACGTAACATCTAGTCCATAATTTAATGGATTGAGATGGCTTTACGGCTGCAATAAATATGTTTACTTAATTGACGGAAGTTCCACATGGTAAACACTGACTTTTGTAAATTAACAAGAAATCTGTAATATAATATGTTAATAATATAATTTGCAAGCACATCGTTCAGCCGCATGATAGTTTTGCCTTATCATTATTATTGATACACGTGCACTAGTTTATTTAAAGTAGACATATATTATTTATTGTTATGCTATTTTGATGACCTCATCATTCTATTTTTGCCGTAGTTTACCTACTTTGCAAAATTCTAAATTATTTTAGTTTTAATTTTGTAATAACTACTGACTTGTAAATAATCTGGTCTCGTTCTCCTGGTCCTTCTCTCACATGTAAAGTCAGGATGATCTCGTCCAGCATCAAATGCTGCGATTATTCTTCGATTTTATTTTAAAGTGGGTTAAAAGCAGAAAATTACTCCTTCACTAGACCACAGTTTAACTTCAAGAAGCGTTAAATAACATAGACATTTCCATTAAACAAAAGAGCTGTGCTAGTTTTAATTAATAAACTTGTTCTGAATCATTTTAGTTTTCTCTCATTTGACTGAATATTATCTTTCTTTCTCCTTTATCACTTGCCTTATATTGTTTAAGATTAAACGATAAAGTTGCCGATAACCACGACGCTGAAAAGGTCACGTTTCTCATATTTAGTTTTATCTAATTTGGAAATGCTACTTCCATTAATGAACCTACCTTAAATGAAAACATCTTTCGCAATATTTTTTCATTCTTGAGGTATTTTTTCATTCTTTTATCTGAGACCTTCAAATGACATTCTTAAAGCTGCTTACGACGAGAGAAATGATGGCATTGAATTGTAAGACAGGTTCAGAAGAATATACTCCGGAGACCTTCAAGAGAATATAATACGAATTGCATTTTTGCGACTACAAATATGATGTTTTGGTGATCTATTTTTTGACTGCACGACAATCATAATAGCCTTCATCATAAGAACCATCGTCCTTTCCTATGAAGAGCACAACGTCCAAACTGAAAACTGCAGGATTTTAATTGATTAACAAGACAATAGAATATTTTCCCTATTTGAAGGTAATCTTCAAACGCCATTTTCCATTGCTAAGGTCACCTGGACTTATGAACTCGTGATCGTTCTGTCCTTACTTATCTACGTATCTCATACTTGCATATATAATGGTGTGTAAAATGATTTATATTTTGATTAGCATCAATACTTATCAATTGATTTCGTTTTATATTCACTTTTATATTCTTATCGGCAGCTTATTATGACTCAGCAGTTGTAGTTAAAGTATATTTAGGAAATATTACAACAGTTTGTTTTTCATATTTGTCGTTCTAGTCTAGAGGTCACATGTGTAATTTTAATATCGTTTTAAGTGTGGCTCTCCGCTCGACAGGAGTGATACCACGGCCTCACAGAAAACCGACGTGAAACAAGGCTTACGTTATGTTTCGTCATGTGAGTGAGGTACCCGGAGGCACAATTACGTCGATACCAGATAAAATTCTTGGTATTAGCTCCTTATTATACGACGAGCATCTACGTTTTCGTGAAAAGAGTTTTTAGTATTTCCAAAAAAACAACTATAGGTACTATATTATTTCCTTTCATTAGAAAAAAAATGTAAATCTTATTAGAATAGCTGTCAATACCTATACATGAAAATTATCATGAATAATGAGAATCTGGGATTAGGTCCGGCATAAAATATGTGAGAGATTCAATGCCTAAGTGCCACTTAGGTAAAGCCAGTCGTGTTATTTAGTATGTAAGTGAGAAAATAAATATTGATTTAGTACATACAGTCGACGAAAAGTGGAAATCAGAGTTAGGTTACCTCTGTACCTCTACTTATGTACTTATTTCTTCTAACCTCTTTGGGAAGCATTATAGTGTGAACATAGTTATTCTACTGTACTCCATTCAAATGCGTCAATACTATAGTAGGCACCTATACTTAGTAGCGCTGAAACAGTAAATAATTCGCAGTGCTAACGTATCATAGTACCATTCCATTGACACAGTGATACTCAATTATGACACCTGTATAATGACGTCACTACACAGTACCTACACACGTGCTGGTATACTTGCATTGTTTGCGGGTTCCGTGGCTCCGGCGACAATGTGGCTAATTACAACCGTTTCTATTTAGATTCTTCTATTATGTAGAACTTTGATAGGCAGGGTTGTTAATTAATAATGGACTTTATGTACCTATGGGTTTGATTCGTTTCCGAAATATCTAAGTATCACATGGTTTTAATCTTATTATCTTATTACTATTATATAAAGCGGAAGAATTTGATATTTTTTGTTTGTTTGTTTGAACGCGCTAATCTCCGTAACTACAAGTCTGATTTGAATAATTATTTTTGTGCTGGATAGCGCATTTATCAAGGATGGCTATTGGTTATAAAACATCACGCTACGACCAATAGGAGCTGAGCAAAGCGTGTGAAACCGCGCGAAAGTAGCTAGTACCATATAATTGTTATGGGAATCCGGAATGCCATTGGGTCTAGTGAAGACTAGATCTGTCCTGGCTGTTTAGAACTCTTTACCTACTGTATTGTCATATTTTGTAACGCTCCGTCGATCAATAAGGGCTATACCTTTTTCACTGGTACTCCATGGCGGCACAATCAGTCGCGCCACTGACCGTGGTTCATAAGTTACCAAACTAGACGCCATACAGACTCCAGAAAAATACTAGCAATTTAGCTGACTCTATACAATTACATATACCTAGGCATGCTATAAACATCATACAGTCATGTTCCTCAACGAAAATTACTTTACAAATTCCACATAACAACAAAAGTACGAGCGCACATTAAAATAGAGGTAAATACAAGGAACATTTTACCTACCTACATATAATAATTTCTAAGAATACTTTCCCCACTTTCGAATAAGCTCTCGATATCACATTATTAACGTGCGCGGCTAAACATTAATTAACTCTGCATTTTCCTTATAAATACGGGAATAAATTTTATTATAAGCAAAACAGGTTTTATATAATTGGCAACCCCTAAGACCACGCCCAAAGAGGAAAACCTTTATCGTGGAAATTAAATGTACACGTTCTATTAAAGGGTTAAGAACGTGTTTGCTAGGACATAAATACCCGCCACTAGGTTCACCAGGCGTTCGGATTTTGCAAGACTTTCTCAATTTAAGTATGAGTTATGGTTGACGCTGATGCTGACATTAACATTGTCTGTTTAGCTGATAGTTTTTGTTGATGTGTGCTTTTAGTTAAATTATATTTTAAGGACAACAGAGGATTAGAGGTAAATTTTCGGGCGTTAACAATTGACCTATTTACACGACACTGGTTTTACACATTTCTGTGGATTTTATCTAAACGATCCCTCGAATTGACAGACATGTAGTCATTTCAAGGATAATAAACAGTCACTTCCATCTTAATTGCCTGCTTAAACAAACGCAACACAATCCGTAGTTTATTTTGTTCTGGCAACCCTACATGCAACAGTGTTGCGAAGTGCGTTCACAGTAAATAAATGCTATTCGCAACACGTGTTCAGTATCCTACACGTGTGTTTAACAGACTACGATGAACTCATGAGTAATGAGCGTATTATTTTATAGAACAACGACCATTCAGATTCCATTCGCACGAAACTGAACGTACTTATGCAAACATGTTTCAAGTTCGTAAGTAACCTAATTGTTCTATTAGCAGTGATTTCATAGTTATGTTAACTTAAAATCTTTTTTGAGGGGTAACTAGAAATTGTAAATTATACGCTGATTTGGTATTAAAACAAAACAAACAATTCGTCTGTACCCGTTAAATAGAGATGCATATTATGTTAATCAAAACGCTTACTTTTCGCCACTTATGTTACAATCAATATAATAGGGGCCCACAAGCCGGTTACTATTCGAAAAAAATATAAAATTCGAAAAAGACAACAGGTTTCTGTCACCCAGCCCTTGCAACTTACAGTCTTAATATTAAAAGTAACTAAACGAAGAACTAAGAAGAAGAAGATTTAAAAAAGGGTCATCTTTTGAATAAGCTCGTCCATTTATATTGAGCAGTTGCAAAACCGAAGGAAGGGGTGAAATACAAACGATCCGAACTCAACTTGACCGTGAACTGTCAGCTGTCAGTAGCTATGGCAACACTTTGAAGGTAAAGGTTAGACATTTTGAATACGAACTTTTTGCGGTATGAATTTGGGATGAGGAAAATTATAACAAACTTTCCTCTTGATAAAGATTGGGTGTGGACTTTCTTTACGTAATTTGGTGCTAAAAATGAAACAATTAAAGCCCTAAATTACGCAACGGGGTTGATAGAGAAGACTGCAAACGTAATCGACACCCAACCCACCCCGAAGTACGGATATAAATGTATGACCATAAAGTATTATAGGCCTATTATATAGAAACTATACTTATATGTCACCATTCATTGATTAATTACCACTAAAATATAAGTATAAAACGTGCAAACAGACAAAATTCTCCAATAGATTTTCGACTTTATGACAAAATTATAAAGTAGTAATTATTGATGTGCTCTGCGTTATATGGCTGCTCTATGTTTCATTTAGGCGGCCGGTGAAACCGGCCGACATTCGGTTATATACAGCTACCAATAAAGCTATGCAAACTAGTATAAACTGACCTTTTATTGTGCGGAAAGACAGTACAAACCGGGATCAAGATACACTGGTCATGTATGGCTTGTGTGTACTACGTAATATAAGTAGCTACGTATCCAAATAACGCAGTGTAATATGACGGGAAAATATTGCACGTGTCTTATACGTATGCGTGTGATATTAACACATACACATACGAACATAAAGATAGTACAACAGGGGTGACGAAAACAAAATTCCATTATTCTTGTCGTTAACAAAAATCACATTAATATTAAATTATGTAATTTAAGTCTATCTGCAAAACATTATACATTTAGGTACTTATCTTTTTTTTACATTATAATTCACAACAGCTGTAAGTTTTCTTAATGATAAATAAATCCAGATGATGATTATCCAGAGATGCCTCCAATGTGAAAAAAATAAAAGTACATGTACTTTTTTTGTATAGCCTACCTACCTACTCACATCTGTTAAACTGCAATTGATTACCGATTTAATTACAAAGCAATAAATATGTTGAACTAACCATCTATTAAAGAAATGCTGGCAATTTCCGTCACTAGTCTCAAGAGTTACCTAAAATAAAGCATTTAACAATAAAAATAAATAAATTCGTTTTATTTTTAGCCACTGATACCTATTCGAACAATTAGCGACAATGTTCTAAACTTGGCTGTTTTAAAAACAGAACTAATTCGGTTTTGTTTTTTATTACAGTTTTGTGGCAAATTCGAGTAGATACTCTTTTTTGTTTTTATGGGCTTGTTTTATTGCTTAAGACAATATAACAAAAATAAAAACATAATTAAAGGAATCAACAATGACAACAATACATTCAAAATTACACAAATGTACAAAAACAAATTTAAAACGCATGGTTACCCTATTTTTATTTTTCGTTACTTTCCTATAAGACGCCTCCAAAATGAACTCCGTTCATTAAAATTTTATGAGAATTTTATCCACTTAATAAAAAAATAATAGCTTAAAGGTGGTAGAGTTAAATAATATGTCGATAACTAGAATAGGGTTCGAATAAGTGTATTTTAGTTTTATTAATTCCTAAAAAACATGAATTAATAGGTCATGAAATCTATGGAATATCCCTACAGTAAATAAAATGAACGCAATGAAACAGGCGGTAGATATAAGAGTGCTAAGGATTTATGTATGGCATAGTTAGTATGAATCATACATTATATATCATACAGTGTCGTCCACACAGAAAACGTCTTTTTCATACATCAATATGTCATTGTATGAATTATGCAAGTGACTATTGAATAGCAATTTATTTATTATTATTTATACGTTACGCCTACGACAGAAAAGAAAAACAAGAAAAAAACATGAAAAGTACCTATGACTTACGAACTCTTAAAATGTTCAAACGAAAATCCTTTTTAACTTGAGTCACCGCCCTTCCGTAATCGTGAGAAAGGTAAAATAAAACAACGTACAACTTGTACGGAATTCGAGAGTCCAAACATAATCCCTTATGACATAACAACAGGCCAACCAAAAGTATTCTTATGGCAAACCTTATAAACATTTTTAAAACAGTCGAGAATACCTCAAATAGAGTCAGGCGATACGAACGTGAGCATTTGTGTGTCAGTGTGCACAAGATTACGTGTTTTACGTATGTTGTATGTGTGTGCGTCGGGTCGGTCACGTTTTGCGCGGCGTGTGGAGGACGCGGCCACGGCGCGTGCAGGCACCGCGCCCCCGCGCCCCCTCGCCCCCGCGCACTCGCCCCGCGCACTTGTCACGTGTTACCGAGGTGTTATTTTCGCTTCGCTTTCGCCACAAATGACAATATTACTCCGACGTCCAATTAATTTAATAGAGATTACCTGTCCCTTTCAGCTTTGTTACTGAAATACTTTATTTCAGTTGACAGATAACTGAAATAATTTACGTATTAATGAACAACTGACGATTCATACATTGATGTTACGTGGTCTTCTTTATGTAATCAAATGGGTAGGTGCCGACATGATTTTTCTTTACTTCCGCTTACTGTCTCGAGATGGTTAAATTGAGAAATGTTATAGTTTATGAACGGCCACAAAGATTGCACTACTGCGTCGTTTGAAATTCATTTGCAAGTAGGTTGCTTTATCATTGATTAGGTCTGATACATGTAGCATTGAACTCTGTTCTATAAATAGATTATACACCAGTTCTGACGTCACTTTACCAGGCTGCTGGTGGCACAGATTTACAAAGCCTGTGGAGCTGACCAATGACCATAATTGTCTAACCTGGGCATGATTATTATAATTTACTCTCACCTCAAGTCTGATAGTGACATTAACCTATCTGAAACTATTAATTACATTTTTTTGTTTTTATAATCAAGGCGAAAACCTATTGGACAGTAGGTGTAATGACCGCACACCAACCTATGAGTCACCAAGAAGAAAGTTTATTACATTGCATAGTTAGGACACCCCTAGGAAACAATAATGTAAATAAGTTGTAAATATACGAAGTTTTTTTATGTAAAGGATGACATTATAAATGATAAGTATAGAACACAAATACATTGCCAAATGCTCGCATGTGGAAAAAACAGGGGAGTATTTTGTGTTGCAGATCCAAAATTTGAGACCACAAAGAATGTGCATCTAATATGGGAAGACTTGGATAAAAACTTTATTATGGGTATAATAAATAAAGCGGAAAATTTTTGGAAAGATTACATTTTTCCGAAATTAATGTCAAGTGCAAAATAAATAAACATGTGTTATTTTTAATAAGTCTTTATTATTTCTCCTTGTAAATTTATTAACCCACAAGATATAATAACAATTTCGTCTAAATAGGGAACATATTTGTAGTTAACCACTGAGTGTGGTTTCAGCATAGCAAACTCTCTTACACGTCTTATAACCCTTTCTACGTGGATCCTCAAACTAGCTATAACTTTGCTCTGTAACGTTTCTGTTACAGTCTGCTTCATTCCAGAATAAACTGTTGGTGGTCTAAGGAGTGTTACATGTTTCAGTGCTAGCAACGACTCTATTTCTTTGAAACCTCTGTCAGCCAATACTACACTGTTTGGTTGAACAATATCTAAAAAATTACTTTTTTCAACAAGAGCTTTATCAGATATTCTTCCCCCATAACCTTCAGATATAAAACTTATTAATCCATCTGGAGTGCAACCTATTAAATATTTAACAGTATTGCAGTTTTTATACTGTGACCATGTTTGTGCTTGCTTTATTGGGTCTGATGGCTTAGCAATCTGTATTTCAAAACAGTCTATAATAATTTGCACATTAGAGTATCTTATTTTAAATACCAAAGGTAAATTCTGTTTTATTAGTTTTGGCTGTGGATTATAAACAAGATTTTGAAAAAAATTCGCCAGTACTTCAATACCTAGGAGAATCATGCTAGACAATTTTGTTCGTGATAATTCAAATAGGTCACTTATTTTTTCAATAGAATCATTTTGTTTTATTTTAAACAATGTGACTATGATACAAAGCGAATCTACTTTTGTGGTACTTTTACTGACCAGATAATCTATAAACCACAAATATTGTAGAGGTAATCCTAAATACATCTTGGGTTTTTTAAAAATAATTTCTAAAACATTATTTCTCATTTGCATCTTAGGTTTAGGCTTTTCTGATGTGGTTTCTTCAGTTTCTGATGTATAACCAAACAGGGAGGGAGTTGTTGCTGAAGAAAATTCCTGTGAAGAATGTACTTCAAATGAAGTTGCCCCCTGAGGCCCCTTTCGTTTTCTAGGCCTTAAGTTTGTGCTTGAATCCACCATTTTCACTTTACACTGCGTTGCTACATGTACCTGTTTAAATAAAATAATGTTTACTAAAATTGTTTGCATGAGGTCATAAATTAATAGTTGTGCAATAGGTACACAGCCTTACATGGTTTTTTAAAAAAAATATATTTGCATATGTAGTTTGAATAATCTACATCTACAGTATAAAGAGGAAACATTTGATTTTCAGTTTGTTTATTTGTTTGTTAGAATTCAATCTCCTCCGTAACTACCAGGCCGTTTTGAAAAATTCTTTTACCGTTGGAATCCTACATTATTGATGATGAACATAAGCTATATTTAATAAAATAAAATAAATGGGAAACAGTGTGAAAATTTCGAAAATGTAACCCAATGTCTGAAAATACTACCAAAAAACTCCTTATATTGCTTAAGCCTTTGGTTACCAATAAAAAACTGTTTTCAAGGGCTCATAATAGTATTTAACTGCAATATGAATTAAATTTACTGAATACATTTTATTCATGGACTAGTTACTGCCCACGATTTCACTTGCTTGTTTCATTGAGTTTAGCATTAGTAGTAAGTGTATTATATACATATTACCTTCCTTTGCATGAAGCAGTTGGGTAAAAATAGAAAGCCTTAAATATAATAGGTAGGTAGGTACCTTAATTGGTAGTGTAGTAGCAGAACTTGTACTGGGCATGACATTATCAAGTTTTCTTATTTTCCGTGAAGATGGGCCTGGTTGGACCATTGATAACATTTTCAATAGTTCGGGACTGTCTTGTGACGTAGTTGGAATCTAAAAATGGTAAACAAAAATAATTAAAAGTACTTACAGTAAGATATGTTTATATAGTTGAAAAATAATAGTTACGAGATTGTACGCACCTCCTGTTCCTGTGGAAAGGCGGCAACATTCTTCAATACAGCCGTAGGCTTTAAAATAGGCTCTTGATTCATTAATTTGTACTTGAAATAGTTTTTCAAATCTGCTACTGGCTGCAAGTGATAGGAAATGTTAAGTATTTAGCACAATCACGCGAATGCTTTATCTGTTATTTACTTATGTTATTTTAATTGTTAAAATCATATATGTCATAAATATACTCACATCAAAGTGATCTTCACAGCAATACAATAATTGTACATTGAAATATTCCGCATTTGCTTCCATACACCACTTCTTTCGTAAGTCTTCTCTGATACGAACAAAGATTTTGTCAGGGCTATTTATGGAATCATTCTTACAAGTAGGAACAAAGCATTTTCTATGTGCCATGACAATGAATAAGTTGTTTATAATATTATGTTAAATGTTTACGTTGGTTTCGGTTTGAATTGAATCTCAAACTCAAAGTAAGGTTATGTATTTGACATGACAGTTGACGCTTCGCAGATGTCAAATCTCTTCTTCATATAGATTGCGTATTAGTAGGCAAAGGCAGTCCTCTATACCGCCTTAAAATGACGTCATTCAATGTCAAATAAAGGTCATTCATATTTCTTTAAAAATATCAGTAATTGTACCGTATTTCAGAGTGTCGTATAGATAAAACTATTAATAAACCTTATTCCCCGAAATGGTTTTTCAATAAGCCCGAATAAAAAAAAATAGACAATCCCCATTGGGCCTCCGGTAACCTCACTCACACGACGAAACACAATGCAAGCGTTGCTTCACGTCGGTTTTCTGTGAGGCCGTGGTATCACTCCGGTCGAGCCGGCCCATTCGTGCCGAAGCATGGCTCTCCCACACTGACTATAACACACAAAATCATGCATTTTTAAGTATGTTTTTACTTATTTAGTGACCATTTCAGAAAAGCTAAACTTTTTTTCATCACTTTACACTGAATCGAGCCTATAGAAATATTTGCGTAATTTTCTATATTTTACTTACGATACGATAGCTCGGCTAATTGCATACAAAATTAAAACTACATACAACGTAGTCAGTCAGTTACGCATACTCCAAGGCCTGTTGCTCCATTCGTCACTAACTTTGAAACGTAAACAAAGCAGTAAAATACTTTAATCAACTCCCATCGTGCAACAAATTGTAAAATATTTATACACAGCCACCATAAATGGAATAACTACAAATACAGACTGTATTTACGTACTTTAGGATTCATTCAAAACTCGCTAATTTAGGGAGTTATGAGAAAAGAATGGTAAAGAGGAAAATGGGCATAAATACATCCACGGTTCCGGAACAATAATGTTTACTTTACGTAATGTTTTTATACTTAAGAGTAGGAAAATTTTAAGTAACAAGGGACGAAGCTCTTTGTTTCTACGTGAGTTTTACTTGGCAATAAAATTATTTTTGTTTTCAAAACTTATTTTTATTTTATTTTATTAAACTTATTTTAATTTATATTATTTTTATTAAACCACACGGGAAAATATTTCATTACTTTTCGCTCAGGTCGATATTATGTCATCGTACGGTTTTTAAGATGAAAAGGTCACCATTTTTTTATATTTTTAGCGGAGAAAATCATCTAATGACTGCTCCCGACTGGGTGAGGCGGCCGGGAGCATTATATGGGACTTAACTGTAAAGCAAAAATAATATAGAAATTATCTAGTTAGGTACATAAAACTAATGAATTTCGTTTATTAATTAAAAAACAGATAGATCCCTACAGAAATGTTCAATTTAAAGAAAGGGAAGTGCAAGCCACCACACTTCCGTTGAACTCAATGTTATCAAGATTACAATTTTTATATTGCCGTTGGACATTCCCCGTTTCTTTGAGCACCTCATTGATATGACTAATTATAATTAATTATATTTGTTACGTTATTATTTAATCCTCGTTAAGATAAGAAGTCGGCAAACGAATCAATAGCGGTTCTATTACATTTTTTCCATAATATTGAGAAATGTACGTGAGAAGTGGTGGGAGATAGATTGATATTAATTTACGTTTTATCCGACTGTAGGAAGGATATTCATTTTGTAATAGTAGTACTAGTAATAATAATATTACCGTGATACAGTTTATGTATTTTTAGGGCACAATATTGTAAAATAACTTTGCCTAATTTTTTGCGTTACATTACACGCACTTGGTCGTTCGTTGTTCGATTTTTAAGTTTTAAAATAAGGCGAATGTGTAGTTTTATACATTGACAAGTTGAAATTATTTTGTGTACGAAAATGTTACGTACCTAATATTGAAGAAGTACATCACTAGAATTAAAAAAACGTTTAATTGTATTAGGTTTCTTGACAAACCTATGATATCTATTGCGTGATTTAATTATAGTAATTACTAAGTATGGCTTTGGTCTCAGGTTTTTTTTAAGGGGGGAAAATCATCGAATGACTGCTCCCGACTGAGTGAGGCGGGAGGGAGTATCAGACTCTTACTGACTAAAAACTAGTAAAAACCACCCCGTTCCTTCTCTTGCACGTCGAGCCGGAACCCCAGTTAACCGTTAGGTTCTCCAGGTAGGAGGTAGGAGGTAGGTAGATGACTCCATAACCTCTCTAGTATTTGTAGTTATTATTGCACAATTACACTTTATCCCGATAACAGAGGAAAACATGAGCAAAAATTATCAGTGTTTTGGATTTTACTAGCCAGTTAATTAAACAATTTAACCATTAGGTACATAATATTACAGCTATCATTATAATAATATGATCTAAGAAAATTCTGAAGGAGTTTGAATAGCAGATGAAATTAGTAAAATAAGTTAAGCTAGGTACATTTTGCGGCTTTCTACTAGAAGACGTTAATGGATCCCTATTGACATTTGTGAACATCCGAAGATAAACACCTTCTGAGGCATTTCTGAGGCACGTTGTTATAGCACTGAAAATATTTCTGAATAATTAGGTAGGTACCTACCTAGATTTTATACTAGGAAACAACAAAGAAACAAAAACATTGTTATAAGTAGGTAACGTAAATTGTCAATGGGATAATATTATTATGCGCTTGACACTTAATTATACAATTTTAGACCTCCGATTAACCAAGGACTTGATTCAACGTCCTTGGGAACAAAGTAAATAATAATAATCAGTCAATGAGTTTCCACCTACATAGTAAAAATTCGATAAGTACCTATTTTTTTTCTTACTTGTGTTACGCGTTTATTACTCGCGAACCGTCTTGAATGACAGATAATTATTTTATTATTAGGTATTATTATGGCCTTAGTCCTGATTAGTTCCAATCAATTTTTGGGCCTGGTTTATCGATATCCTTTTTTTATTGTTGCTAATTGAAGTATCTTTTATCATTTTCATTTATCTAGTGGCCTATCAAACGGTATTTGCAATTGTGTTGTGTAAAAATACTATATTATCTGCAAGAGTTTTTTCTTTTACGTAGCCTATATTAAGTCATAGTGGTTCTTGCAAATCTGACGTGTAAATAAAAAAAAATACGTAATAAAAAAAATAAGTGCGTAAGGGTGATATTGACCACTGAAATTACATTATTTATAAACTTTTATAACATTTAAATTCAACTCTAGGATCATAACACGCAATAGAATTAATCTAACTAATGTAATGTTGCCAAAATTCATGAAAATCTAATAAAAACGCTTTGACTTTCAAAAAGAGATGTCGAAAACTGTAAAGCGGAATAATTTGAGCGAGTTGAGTATTGAAAACGAGCGAAAATATTAAATAATGATGAATAATGATTTCCAGGTCAGGGTCGGCCGTGAGAAAGTTGTTTTTCCTTCTTTTTATCAATCCAATGCAAGCAATGTAGGTACAGTAATGTAGGCATTACCTATTGAAATATTTAATAATTTGTTGTTACCATTTGACCCAATTGTAAAAAAACTATATAGGTACCTATTTGTTGCGATGTCTTATTTTGTACTTACGCAGTCTCATGGTGACAGGATTCAATTTTGAATATACCCATTTTACAGTGTATGAAACTATGAATTAGATTCTACTTATTTTAATAACTCTGTAAAGAAATACATTACAATACAAATGTCACGAGTTATATTGTATTCGTAGAAAAATAAAATATTTAATGAAATTATTCAATGGAACTTACTTGTCATATTTGACGGAATGCCCGTTCTCCTCCCAATAATGCCTTGTTTCCATATTCATTTGTAAGCACAACAAAAACAACAAACCACTGTTTCACAAAATAGCTGATGATAATATCAGATACAAGTTGTCTGTTTACATTTTATTCCCTTTGCGGGTAGGTTTTGTTCAGCACTTATCACAAACAATTGCACTTAAGTTAGGTCTCCGCAATCCATTTTAGATAAACGATCACAGTGAATACAAATTGTTGTTATCGTATTTAACTGCATGTATGGAGCGTGTCGCTAACGTCGTCACCGTGAGCGCTTCGCGGCCACTCTGAGCGGATGTACTCCAAACACCGGCCGGTTTCAGTCATGTGACGCGGCGGCGGCGTCAAAATATGGACGGGGGGCGTCGGAATGCCGGCGCACATTCCGATGCGTGAACTCAAAATTCTAGGGCAAATTAAAGATATTTAGCCATTTGAATGCCTTTAAGTGTGTTGAGAGCTGTATTGGAGTGTAATAATGGGCAATATGGCGATGTATCGCTGGCCTAGGAAGATTTTATTGGGTTTTGTGGGTCGGGCGCGCCGCGGCTGCCGTCGTCGCCGGGCCACGCTCGCTCGCACGTGATCACTGTGACGCGACGATTGCTCCGCCCCGCACGGCGCGAATATACTTTGCGCTTCTGGGCATACCCGACTGTTATAATAGTTAGCGATATAAGCGTTACGTGATTATTTAACAGAAATATTTTTGTCGTGTTTTTAATTAAACATGTGGTAAGTACCTGTCTTGTTTTCACGGGTTGGGTAATAGGTAACTAGAAGTAGGGTACCTACTTTATTTACTAATCCGATCACAAAACACTAGTCATAAAAAACCATCTTCCGGAGTTCTTACAATCGACACAGTAAATAATAATAATTTGCAACTCTAAAAACTTTGTTTCATTTCAAGTAAATGTGGGAGCCCCACCTTCTCTGTAGTTGTATAGTTCATTTTCTATTATCTTTATAGTATCTTCAATGTCAGATCACCGAGGCGTGTGTTGGGCAGTTGGGCACGGCTCCGAGGGCGTGGTGTTGACGTAGCGCCCACGCCACGAGCACGTGCCGTGACAGGAGCGGGAATAGAACGAAATGGAAATATAATAGGAAAAAAAGAGATAAAACAATTACACTAAAGTAAGCAGGTTTTTTCAAGTTACAATACAAAGTCACCTGTTTACATATTTCTGTCTGACAAACAGATATTACAGGATTTTATGAATGGTAATAGCAATTACCTATTTAATATTTACACATAACACACCTATGCATTTTTTGGTAAGGCTAAAACACTACCCAAAGGTCGCCGTCACCGCCATGCACCAGCCCAAAAGGCCGGTAACGCTCTTGCAACTTACTCCTCTGGAAGTCTGGATGTCTGCAGTGCCCATGGGCAGCGCAGATCACTAACCACGATCCGTCAATGGCTTATCTAAAAAAAATATATAAACAATATTTGGGACTCGAACTTAGGATTAGGAATCGAAATGGGACCACTGCCTCTTCTACGATATGCGCGCTTAATGCTTGCAGTTACTTGACCAATTTGAGTATCAGGAGAAACGCGAATATGTAAGTACATATTTATATAAATAATAATTTTGCCTAAGAACCTAGTTCAATTAAATAGGTAAGTATCTACGTCTACAGCTAGTATTTGTTAAAACTAAGAAATAAGAACATAAGAAAACTAAGAACAAGAACGTATTATAAATAGTTAGACGCACTAGACGAGTACGACTAGAGATACCTAAGTATGTTATGTACTGTAAATGACCTTTATGAATATTTGCATTCATTAATCGAAGTAATTAATGTGTTTTGTAATAAAAAGCCTATGTCTAGAATTCTAGATACTTAAATTATTTGCGGAAACTTGTACACTTATAGTATTTGCCTTGAAATCTTAAATGAAGTGCCTTGTGCTGGATAGTGGATGGATAAGTATACCATTGACACAGTGGTGAATGGTGATTGATTGCACTGTCAACATAGGTAAGAAATAAAAATTCTTCAATAATTTACCAGACCCGACATCCATTGCAGGTTACAGGAAACGCACGTAGTTTCACAGCCAAGAAAGATTCAATACATAACATAGTGACGTAGGTCTATCTTAGAAGTAATTTCTATGTTAACTTCGATAGGACTCATAATCCCCTGCACTTAACAATTGGAATTCCCGCAAAATTAGTCTTTATTACTACTCAACACAATGATTAATTCCCCGTTGAAACTAATAAATATCTGCATACGATTATAGGAAACAGGCTCGTACATCACGCTGGCTACCACGAGACCACATCTTTGAATAATGACGCAACTGTGTGAGTCTCGGTCACGTCCATACTCCATTGATGTCTGATGGATGATGTTATAGAACAATGATCAACATTGTCTGATGAAGAGTACGTGGCTAAGTTACAACTGCCTGGCTGGACAAACGCCATAAAAGCTAGATAGACGATTAAAAAGAGTAAACTTATTGGCGGTTTGACAACGGGGAAAACTATCAAAAGATTACTTCCTAGCTTTTGTAGAGAACGTCAAGGATAATGTGATTTTTACCTCGTTAAACCACCCTAATTGCCACCATAAATCACTATAAAGGACAAGGCAAGGGGTACCTCACTGCGAGGACCGCCCGGAGGACACGGTAGAGTATACGGTGGCGGTGTGCCCTGCGTGGGCTGAGCCCGGTCGTGTCCTCAGGCATGAGATCGGCGACGGCGATCTCTCGCGTCCGGGTCTAGTTCAGAACTTCAGACAATGGTACGGAACTACGGAGCGAGAAACCACCACAGATGGGGCCCAATAGGGCTGATACGGATCCGGAGCCGCGGAGGGCTTAACGGGTTGCCGTTGCCGGAGCTCCGGTTCGAAGTGCAGGAGTAGCAACTGGGTGTTTTTTAGTCAGTAAGAGTCTGACACTCCCTCTCGCCTCACCCAGGCGGGAGAACTCATTGGATGATTTTACCCATCAAAAAAAAGGGGTACCTGTACTAAGGTATACATACTACCTACCTATTTTCCTGTGACTGTTCTTCTATACCCAACTAAGTGGAGAGACCTACTCTGGAGCCATCACAGTGCAACGCCTGTTACGGTACATGCACGTCCCTAAGGAGCTTCTCGAAACAATAATATGAGTAATATCGATATAAAAATAAAAGAAAGTAACATGAAAAATTGTCTTGCGTGATAGCAGCCATGCTTATTCAAAGTCAAAGTCAAAGTTAAAGCATTTATTTCAGTTAAACCATAGTTTGGTACTTTTGAAACGTCAACAAATACAAAATAAATAATAGTCTGTCAGTCAGTCCGTCAGTGAAATTAGGTGAAGCTAGGTGCTCATTCCAAAGCGTAGATTCGAATGGAGAAGAACGAGCAAGAAACTCCATTCGTTACTCTTTTTAAAAAAGTATGTTCTACAATGTCTCTGATACATATTTCAATACTGTACGCATATGTAAGAACAATGCACAGACACGCTTGACGCATTATACTAATAACTTACTAAAATAAAAATCTTAAGTCTAATTACAGACAGTCTAAAACAGTCTAACATGGTGCTCACATATGCATACTGACAATCCATAGAAATAGTGCTTTTATACAAGAAAAAGGAAACTCTTTGTTTCAATAAAGAAAGATGATATTGATGTTGATGTTGAAAGTTGCTACAAACAACAAGTAGGTAGTTTTTAATATTTTAATGTGATCGGCACCTGCCTTTGTTATATCTTTGACCGCACGACGCTTGAAATTGTTATTGGTCTCTGTACACATAGGAATGGGGTAGGTAACGTAGGTCACAGAATACTAACCTGGTATCAGATCAGATCTTCTTTTCTTCTTTATGAACGTGGAAACGTTATTAAATATAATATTATTTTATTGTTTACTCTAGAAATCGAGATGATTGCACAAACCATCCTCTTTTACCACCATAGACGTAACATTTTCAATTGAATTTATATAAGTAAGTAACAACCACAAATACATTTTCAAGTAACTAAGGACTAGGGGCTTATAAAACAACAAAATAAAATAATTTCTCAACGAAACAAGGTAAATCTTTTCACGTAAAGGAGGCGTCGCCTTTTGTATAAGTAACTTATTCTTGTAACTTGTTATTCAACTAGTCCAAATATAAAGTCTGTACAAATTCCGAGTTACTTGGAACGAAACCTCACAACACGAGGCTGGTTTATTTCCGTTGGCGTGTTCAATATAAGGGATTAGTGCGTTCAAACGTGCACGGGTTAGGAATTCGTTACGTGCAAAACGTGCGGTTGTACGACGACGCTGCGGCCGGCGGCGCACGGGTTGGGGAGTGCACGATCATCATTGTTCACTCGTTATGAATGGCTCTGGTTACATGAAATACATAGGGTTGCACGTTTCGAGACAGACGTGACATAGATTGCCTAATGGTTGATGTGAATGCAGTGGATGACGCTGCTCCGCCGGTTTATTTAGGAACGCATTCAGTACCTATTAGTACTGCCTGGGTTATAAGGTGTTACAAACCATACCATATTTTATTTTCCTTTAAAATAGACAATATTTACCTCTTTGTAGGTAAAACAGGTAGATCCAGTGATCAATGTTCTTCAAGTAAACGTTATGTAAGGCTTACTGGCACTTGCCCACGCTTATCGCAAAAAAAACTGTACTTACCTATTAATAAAAAAAAAATTGGACATAGTGGGTAAACTCTGGCACTTTAACCAATAAAAATAATAATTTACTATTATAATAAATAACAAAATAGAACTGCCTACGACTACAGACATACTGTTGAAGGTTCATCGAGCATCGTGTTTGACGTAGTCGATAAAATAAATTTACTAGGGAACTGATGAATAGACAGACTAGCACTTATATTTTAAATAATATTCGGTTTGATTTTCAATAGTAAAAAGTTCGGTTCTAATTGAACCAAATAACTTGAGTTTAACTCTCGACTTTGTTTGGAGAGGCGCAGCTTGCAGCAGTAAGATCATACGAAGCAGCTGCGCAACGCTCACAACGCACAATGTGTCGCAGGTTCAATTTCCGCACGGAATAACTGCTTGCATGACTCAAAAATTGTTGTTTCGGGTGTGATTTGTAGTCCTTCCTTACCTATATGAAATTGTTTTTTTTTATATATGGTATAAGCCGGGGAACGAGCAGACGGATCATCTGATACGTTACAAGTGCGTTACCGGCCTTTTGGGAATTGGGAATTTGAGGATTGTGGAGGATTCGAGGATTGGGGGGACTGGGGACGGGGGTTATTGGGCCTCTGGTAACCTCACTCACATGATGAAACAGAACGCAAGCGTTGTTTTACGTCAGTTTTCTGTAAGGTCGTGGTATCACTCCGGTCGAGCCGGCCCGTTCGTGCCGAAGGATGGCTCTCCCACACTAAGAACTGGAAGGAAATGTCATTTGTGCGTTAGACACAGAGGAAAATCCTTTACAACTTTGTACCTGCTAAAGTAAGTAATGCTTTCCTATACTTTTGTAAATAGATCATTGGTTTTATGGGTAAACTGTTATAAAGGTACCTTGATAGCAAACTCATCGTTGATAGTCGCTGGACAAATAGTTTAGTTGAGCACATCGAACCAAACGAGCAGTTCTTCATATTTACTGATATTTACATAACTCGACATTGAGAAAAGCAGTTTGGTTACCTCGTCACCTGACGTTATAATACTTGATTGTGTTCCGGTTTTAAGGAATATCTTGCTAAATAATCAAAACTGCTTCCTTGATCGCATGGTCGCAAATGTGAATGCTAAGCAAGGGGTATCTACAGGTCAAAATAATATTTAGCTTTTTATAGTTCTACAGCACTTACGCCCTGTGTATGGTCATCCTCTGCTAAAGGAGCTCTGCTCTCAACCTCCGCATGAACCTAACTGGTCAAAAGTGGTGCTACACTGAAAATGTGTAGGTAATCTAGCTTTAACTACTTATTCCTTCCTGGCCTGTTTCTCATACGAGGCCTAATGCGCGAGTCACTCACTGACTATCAATCATGATTGTCAATGGCACAGAGAGCCAACAGTAATATTAGTTCTAAATTAAAACTCATAAAATATCTCTACTTCTATGGTTCAAGAACGGCTAAGTCACTTGTTTGTTAGTAGGTGTAGCCGTGTAGATAGACAGTGTACTCAGTGTACATAGTTTATGTAACGTTGTTATACTTAAAAGTACATAGGTACATTCATTCATACGCTACGGTGTGTCATTCAATCACGCGTTTAGATCTGTGGGTAAGTAAGTAGTTCATTCTAAATTATTCTTAACTATTATTCAGTAAAATAAAATAATTAAAGTTTAATTTGTATTTAGATAATTAGTTATTCTGAAAGTGCTAAGCCTGGTAACACACAGAGATTTTTTCAAATGGCAACACTATATTTGACAGTAAATTGATACGTTTAGTTATTAAATTTTAACTTCCAAATAAATATAACAGAAAATTTAAGAACATTATAAATAAACTTACACAATGAAAATAAATACTGCATTGATTTCTGTTTTCTAGAACATCTTTTTACATAAGTTTAAAGGCGTTAACTAACTTTGTGAATACTTCGACCACGTCATCACAAAGCGTAAACTAAACGCGGATTGATATCTGTCAATCAAATTGTACAGCAGATTTTCGGAAGAGGCGTTCATTAATTTACGTTTTTTGCTTAAAGCACAGTGGTTTTATCGTTAAAAATGCTTGCTATAATCAATCGTATCCTTGATTGGATTAAAAGCTTGTTCTGGAAAGAAGAGATGGAGCTAACACTGGTTGGATTGCAGTACTCGGGGAAAACAACTTTTGTTAACGTCATTGCCGTTAGTATTATCTGAAAACAATATTTTTATGTTGTTTTAACTTCCTCATAGTCTTTACACAATTCTAATGCGATTTCGTTTAATTATTGGATCAATTTAATAGTCTACCAACATTGTTGAACCTTTGGAAATGTTATAAAAATGATTATTTTTATTATTTTCCAATGATTATGTATCGTCTGTTAGAATTGTGTGATCTCATTGTTCATTTTGTTGTGTTTTTGTGTCATTCACTACAAAGGAACATTGCAAAGATTGTTACACAGAAACTACAAAAATTGAGCATGCAATCTGTGCCTCTTTGCTCTGTGCACACATAATATTAAATACATCTTAAATTACCATAAAGAAACTATTTGGCCATAGTGTACTATCCAATCAAAATTCTATTGCAGTAGATCTAAGCATGAGATATTCTAATTAACTAAAATAACTACCATCATACATTTATAAATTCAGCTATTAAATTTTCTTTTAACAGCTTTCTAAACAAAAATGAGTGAAATCCTTTCATTAATTAATCACACAAAGATTCTAACAACCAAACTGGAACTAAATCAATAATAACTGTACTTACTTATCATATAATAAACATGTTGAACACAAATATGTACAGTATATATCTATGTACCTATATATATGGTTTTAATATATACATGAAGGGTCACATTTCAATTGACAATAATAAATTATCTCATGTCCGATTCCAATGTCAATATAATAATTCCATCCACTGTGGTTCATTTACCCTTTATCTTATCGTAAAGATTCTAAGCATTCTTTATTTCATTAATTACCCATATTATGAATACTGGGAAAAGCAATGTCTTCATATTATTGTTTATTATTGTACAGTTTTGGTATATCTATCACATTTTATCATCATAATTAATCATTTATTTACTCATTCAAGTTTAATTAGGTATTTAGTAATGTCTATAATTATAATATATTTATTCATCATTTTGTCTAATTACTTGGTCCATCTGTTCATTCAAATATATTGATAGAGTTTTTTGTACAGTAAAAAGGAGACTATGTTCGTGAATTTGTAAGTCAAGTGTAAAATGTATATTGTATTTATTTGTAGTAACAATAAATAATCCTTGACCTTAATCTCAATATGATTCATGCAATACCTACATTTTAGATTCATTGTTGACTGTGTAAAATATACACAATATCCTTTACACAATAGTATGTTTATAATTGAAATTATGACTTCAATTTTGCAGACCACTAGATGTTTTTTAATTTAAATGTAATTCGTTTTTTATTATATAATATTCTATTAGATTGTAGGTATGATTAGATCTAGTCAATCGCCTCTAGTTGTGGGGACCTAGACTCACACAGTAGTAACAATGGTAACAGACCATACTAGGATTTCTCTAGTGTCTTCAGGGCATTTAAAACACTTGGTTCCACCAAATACATATCACACCCAAACCATGTGCAATATGTAACCATAGTATGGTGTGCAGTAGCTGCTTGTCCAGCTACAGTGTTGACTATACAATCATGAAGTTTGTTCTTGACTGGGAAAAAATTAAAATGAGATTTTTTCGTTTTGTTAATAATAATACAAAGAGACTTAGGTGTTCACCGTTACACTATAGTTTCATAGGGGCATTACAATTAGATATGTAAATCTTACAGTTTTAACTAAAATTCATACCTATGTGTAGGTTCAATAACTTTTAGCATATTTTAATTAATTAATTTGATCAAACATGAAAAAAATCTGTTATTATAAAGCTTGATAACACTCCCATGAATCAGAATGTTAATTTGTCGTAATGAGAGATGTTGCTAATCTGCCTAATGTTGAAATATACTGTTACATTAGCATTTACGCACAATATAAACTTTGCAGACAAATATTATATATACTATATTGCAAAGGATATATAAATCAAAATTGCACAATTTTCATATTTAGCTTTGCGATTGGTACTAAACTTATTATCTTTCATTCAATGAATCATATAACAATAATAGTTATTGTAATTTGTATTTAAGTACCATTGTAAATATAAATAATTACAATGACATATAAACGATTATCCTTGTTCTTTTTCCACATTTGTTGGACTAAATGTTCACCATTTTTTAGAGGTATTATATGCTTCATTTTTTTCATTACATTAAAGAACAACTTAATAGACACACATAACTTTTATTACATAACTCACCTCTTTAATCAGTTATACATATTAGGTAATTATATTTAAGAGTTTCTTTTATGAGATAATCCGGCAAATGAGCAGACGGATCACCTGATGGTAAGCAGTCGTTGCTGCCTATGGACACCCGAACACCATAGGCGTTACAAGTGCGTTTTGGGGAATAGAAATTTGAGGATTGTTGGGGATACAGGGATTGGCAAGATTGGGCCTCCAGTAACCTCACTCACACGACGAAACAGAACGCAAGCGTTGTTTCACGTCGGTCTTCTGTGAGGCCGTGGTATCACTCCGGTCGAGCCGGCCAATTCGTGCCGATGCATGACCACACTTATTTTATTATGTAGAGAAGTTAATTGTCACTAGCAGAATAAAACATAGTGTGTTTAGAAATTCTTTTTTCTTTCCACAGTCCGGGCAGTTTAGCGAAGACATGATCCCAACAGTAGGATTCAACATGCGCAAAATCACCAAAGGAAATGTCACTATCAAGGTAAATAAGTATTTGTATTTTTATCAGATAACGCAAATAACATATCTCATTTATTTATTATTTGAATATTAAAATTTGGTAATAATTATTATAGTTTCTTAATTTAAGTTTGTTTCTGGGTTCTCCGAACTTGCTGTGTAGATTTTGATTCACTGTGATAAAGCAGTAGCTGATAGGAGTCTAGAAACACAACAGCTTGAGAAATAGAACTTAATGAAAGGATGGTTGTGATTTGTATTAGGTACATATTTTTATTTTAGTAACTTGTATACATTAGAAGCGTCAAAATTTGCATAATACCTTTTGCTGCTCACTAAAGATAACTGAAAGTCACCTTCATTTGCTCATAAATCGCATTTAATTCTTAGAGATAAATAGCATGCAGGTTTTATAGTGGTTTGTGTTGTCAACACAAAATGGAATTTTGTTATTCTGTGTAAAATTTGTTTAAACGAAAATAGTAGTAAATCAAAGTAGTAGTTATCTTTCTCTACGAGACATAAGTTTTCTTATAGGAGGGAGAAAAGGGTAGATATCCGTTTGCCCCCTTATATGGATCATCTGGTAAGCGATCAGCACCGCCCATGAATATCCGCAATACCAGCATCGGATTCTAACAGCAAACCAATGAGTTTGATCTTCAAGTCTTCATCGCCAACCATTGCTATTCACTTTGGGAATATAATATTAATTGTTTTTATGTTTGTTTCCAGGTTTGGGATATCGGTGGCCAGCCCAGGTTCCGCTCCATGTGGGAGAGGTATTGCCGAGGAGTTAATGCTATTGTGTAAGTACTCATTATAAATTATAAAATATTTTTAATTATTTAGGTTTTAAAGGCTAGATGTAGAAGCACTATGCGTGGTGGGGTTCTGCTTGTAAATGATCAGGACCCTCAGTAAAGAGGAACATTTATTTATTTATTTATATTTAAACATTACATTTATCATTACAGGCACACTTAATACAATAAATGCAGATACATTATAAGTAAACTTATTACACAATATCCCCTAATAACCGTAAAATAATTTAGACAAAGAAAAACAAAAGAACATAAGCACATAGAACATTAATTAAACTTACAGGCTAATACATTTTCACAAAACTATCCCTAATAAACGTAAATAACTTTAATAATAACAAATACTTATATTTTGAGAATCTATGTACCTAGATACTAACAACATAAATTATATAAATAGAATTAAATAAGTACAAATCCTAGGAACTTAGTTATTATTCACAACAGCCTCATATGCTACCTAACATGACTCAAGGAGGCGTTTTAATTCATAATGTAACTAGTTTCTGCCCGCGACTTCGTACGCGCAATCCCGTTTTCTCCCGTTCCTGTAGGATTTACAGGATTTTTTTTAAGTCATCAACCTTCTCCTTTTAATAACAAATACAACAAAAAAAGAATTAGTGTAATCGGTCGAGCCATTCCCGCGTGATGCCGTAACCAAGGGAAAAAGGGATTCATTTTTATATATACATATAGATAGCTTCTGTCAACGGTCTCACTCGCGATCCCATGGGATAAAAAGTAACCTATGTATGCCTTATATTCCAAGACATTTAAGTGTGGGAGAGCCATGCTTCGGCACGAATGGGCCGGCTCGACCGGAGTGATACCACGGCCTCACAGAAAACCGACGTGAAGCAATGCTTGCATTGTGTTTCGTCGCGTGAGTGAGGTTACCGGAGGCCCAATTTCCCTCCCCTTCCCCAATCTCCCCAATCCCTGAATCCCCAACAATCCTCAAACTCCTAATCCACAAATAGCCGGTAACGCACTTGTAACGCCTCTGGTGTTCCAGGTGTCCATGGGCGACGCCGATTGCTTTCCATCAGGTGATCCGTCTGCTCGTTTACCGGCTTATGCCATAAAAAAAAAAAAAAAAACATAATCTACACCTTTAAATTATGATAACAGCTTTATTTAATAATACAGCTATTACAGATAACAGGTAGGTACATAATAATAAAAAAAAATAAATAATAATAATGAATAAATGAATTTGATCTGTTACAAAATTTTATCCAGATTTCGACGGTTTTGACGTAATTACGTAATAAATATACACTAACTGTCACATTTATAATATTAGTATAGTAGTTAAAGCAACAACGTTAACTCTGTCCCAGCTACATGGTGGACGCGGCGGACCCGGACAAGATCGAGGCGTCTCGCAACGAGCTCCACAGCTTGCTGGAGAAGCAACAACTCACCGGCATACCAGTGCTCGTACTCGGGAACAAACGGGACCTGCCGCATGCACTCGACGAGCACGGACTCATCGAGCGGATGTAAGTACCTTTATTTTAAGGGAGCAACATCGTCGAATGATTCCTACGACCATCAGTAAGGCGAGACGGAGTGTCAGACTTCTTAATTCACTTGCTAAAAGACTAACTAGTCTGTTTCATAATATTGCGTTCGTGTGAGCAACGACAACTAAATATTACACTTATGAATCGTAAGAAGAAACAATATTGCACAATATTCAAACTCGTTTAAACGTTTGTTCCATCATTGCATAAGCTGCAATATTAATCCTAAACAGTCAACAATAATATTGGGCAAAACACACGAAAACGAGGCAAACTAGAATAAATAAAATTTTGTTGACCAATTATTTGTTTCTCCCAGGAATCTTTCAGCTATCCAGGACCGTGAGATCTGCTGCTACTCAATCTCGTGCAAAGAGAAGGATAACATCGACATCACACTACAGTGGCTCATCGCGCACAGTAAGTCCGGCAGCGCGCGTTAATCGCACACCATTATCGACTCTATGTGCAACACATCTTTAGCACCTAAGGCGCAGTTTTGCCTGAACTTTCTTCGTATTTAAAGTTCTTCGTTTGATTACATCTCTATGCGACGAACGAACACGAAATATTTTCACAATATTGGTGACTTACACTGCACAAAAGACACGAGTCTTTTTGCTTCGTGAAAAGTCAAAAGACTGGCCTCGCGAAAAGACTAAATAATGCCTAAATAAATTGGACTTTGACATTTCCTTACTGGTCGATTTGATCACGAGAGTGAACTTTATGTGGTCATTTTCTTTGATTAAGTCGGTTACTCTATGTATATTTGGCTACGAGACTGAAAAGGGACATTTGAAGAGACTGCCAAGTATACTACTTCACATGACTGTTTCCTAACTCTCGGTTCATTTAAGAAAGATTCGTGGGAAATGAACTGCGCCTTATAGAGACTGTGCTTCTAAGAGATGACCTTGTTGCATTATATTGTAAGTTGCGATTACAATGGCGTTCAATACTTTATCACAGCGTATTAGTTTCAAGAAGTAAATTATATTAAGAGTAGGATTCCAAAAAACAACGTGTTTTTCTTTTCTTACGTGTGTACTGTATTGTTGAGAATCTTGACAGTTTTGCCTCGCTTTGAAACCTGACATTTTGAAGCAGTTTAATTGTGAAGGAATAATATTTTAGGAATATTTTTTTTTTCTTGCCTCGTATTTGAATGCGTTGTGTATAAAGTATTGGTCAAGCCAGTCGTGTCGTGATAAATAAATTTAGCTTGAGTAATGCACTCTCTAAAACAAATGTTGAATGTGGTGAATTATCTTGTCACAACACAACCGTTGGCTTCAATTTGTTTTCATTGTTTGAAAATGGTGCCAAGCTGTAATTTCATTTGTTAATATCATATAATTAATTATTATTTACATGGAATATTTATTGAAATGCAATAATTATGTGAAAAGATAATATTGTCACATTACAAATGTACGTTTACATCTAAAGTATAGTTTCTTTTAGATACATTTATTGAAAGACGTTTTTACTCTTCCTGTTGTCGTTTCATATGTAAATCTTGAATAGTTAGAATATATATCGCATTAAACTAAAAATTAAACCTGCACATATCAATTGTATCGCGTTTAATTTACTGTAAAGTTTAACATTTGGTCTAAGAGTTGCTATATTTTAGATGCAGTACTATCATAGTCTATCATGTTAGACTATTTAGATTCCTTAATAATATTAGCGTTATATATTATAAATATACTTATCTCATATTGTTAGCTAAAAAAATAAGTTTAAAGGTATCTAATGTGCGAATAATTTTGTTGTTCCCTCGTTAGGCGCAACCTGTATATAATATGAACAATCTACGTTTATTATGTATAAATTGAAGTACTGTTTTGAGGTATGGACACAATATTTTACGAGAATTTTCTATGTCAGGACCAAGAAATCGTATGAAGTGAAAAGACACCTATTTAGGATAATGTGCTTAACGATTTACAGACATAGAACCATAGGCGCATTGACCTAGAAAAGTAGATCGTATAGGCTTGTAATAAAGATTATTTTCGATTGTAAAATAGTGTCTTCATGACTCAAAAAACCAATGATCTTTATTTATTTTTGTCATCCAACAAAATTATTCATACACTAGCAATGTTTTGTCGAATATAGAAAGTCACTAGATGTGTAATTAATTGAAATTGAAAACCCGCTTCGACTGCACATTATGTTTATATAAATAAACGTTTATATATAGTTGTATCTTGTAATATATTACATAGATTTGACAAGAGATGTTGAAGTTCTTATTACAAGGCGCTGGTGTCGAGAAATGTTGATTATAAAATTATATAGAAAACATTGTACACACGGCTACACATCGAGCTTTACATAACCAGTATAAACTGAACGTTAAATGTGCGGAAAGATGATGCGACGCGACGCCAGGGTAAACTGGTTTTGTATAGGTTGATGTGTGGCCATGTGTACAAGCAATTTGCCACACTAGCGCCATTGATGAGCGTCATGCAACTAAATCAAGATGTAACCTCTTTGCTGGGAGAATGTCAGAATATTGAGTTAACAGCGTTTAGTATTATTTAATTACGAACATTATATTTGGAAGATTATCTCAAATAGTTTCACTGAACAATTGTATTTTTAGTTATTATGAATTACCGAATTTTAAATTATTATGATTTCCCTTGAAATAATTATGTAAGTTTACAAATAATCAACGAAATTGATTACCTTTGTACGGACTAGGTTAGTCAAGAATTATAAGCATATTGAAATTAAATAAATGTTATATAATCGTTATATTATCAGAGTTTTCACACGCGAAGACAATAACTGGGACTTTTTATTTGCTCTGCGTAAAGGAAGCCATACCATGCTCAAAGAATGCCTGGTTAGGCACTATGTATGGCGCTCTTTGCAAAGTAACAAATTGGTTTTCATGGGCAATATGTATTGTACCTTAAAACTTGGTTACTTAGGTCAATTTTACATAGACATAGCAGTTGATACGCGATTTAGGTAATGGGGATTTTTTACCTGATTAGCCAATTATGGCTTTGTTACGTAGCTCTCTCAATACTTGGCGTCAAGTCTTGAAACGATCTTCACAAGTAGCATTCCAATTTTCATTAAAAATTATTTGAGGTATTTGTTCAATTATAATTATATTATTTTTATATAATGGTGCGTTTATATCGTATGGCTGTAACTTATCTTTTTCTATAAAATAATATAACACACGCAAAGATGTAATGAAAATCAAAGTGTCTTATTTTAACATAGCCTTTATTAATAACCGTAGTCTACACTAGCGCAGAATCGAAGCGTCAATCCGGAATGTCATTGCAAATTCACTCTTTATCACCGCAGAATAATGTGCATTTTCCTTCCTGAATAAAAGTCAACGTGAAATACATAGAATTTATATGTCTGGGAGACGTTACTTTGCAAAGAATTGGGTTTTTATACAGAATAGTAGGTAAATGAGTAGACGAATCTCCTCCTGATGGTATGAGTGAGATAAATGCCGCCCATGGACCAGCAACACTAGACGAGTCACAAGTGCGTTACCGGGCTTATAAGTAACTAGCTACTTCCGCGCGGTTTCACTCGCTTTGCTCGGCTAGCATGATATTTTATAGTTAGCGCGTTCAAACAAAAAAACAAACCCTTCATCTTTATAATATTAGTATAGATAGGCCGCTCTTCTTGAAGGGTCGAGAGTCCTATCGGTTTGGACCGATCTGTGCGAGGCATAAAGCCTTCGTTAAAAATTCACAATTGTTTCCAGGCAAACATATGATGGCGATTGGGGAAGTGCTGTTGCGTGGACGGTTAGCGACCGGTGGGTGAATTTGTTGAGACATTTCACATCATGATGCTGAGATACCCTTCGACTCTGCGCTAATGTAGATTGACACTTAGAATTGTTGATCGTTTGCTCAGAATAACGCTGTTACAAGATATTTAGCAGGAGTTTAGACCTTTATACAAAATGTGCTTATTTATAGACTGGTTCTAATACACTAAAAGTTTGTTATTCATGTCTATTAAGTTCTATTAATATGCAAAAACATTGCAAGTAAGTTCCATCGATATTTATTTTAAATCGATTTTAATTTTAAAGTCAGGACCTACAACTTAGCTAACCTTAACGTTGGATTAGTCTGATGTAGATTGTTTGTAAACATTTGTAGATTTTCGAACAAAATAATTTAAAAAGTAATTTAAGGCCTTTTGCTATATACAATAGAGTTTAATTTAGCTTGTCCGTCGAAGATGGTCTCTGTAACTCGAGTTTGGTTCTGCTTTTATACGAATTTCACTATAACCGCAGTTTGTGGAGTGCAGTTTATTTGTCTGCCTCGCCTGAGGGTATTTGGATTAGGCTGAATCACTAAGAAACCGATTGTTTCATTCTCTTTAAGTTTATTAAAATAAAAGGCATGAATTTGAAGAAAACCCCAGTGTTTTTGTGAGTTTTTTAGTACCTAAGTAGGCTAATTATGTGTTGTGAGAGCAAAATTTTAACATACAAAATTGAACTTTATTTGAAAGTGGTTAGGTACAGTTAAACTTTGTTAAACGATGCACTCCGACTATGACACCTCGCTCTGAGTACTTATCTATGTTTTGTTAGAACATACTTTATACTTACATATTACAAATGTATGATTTAGATAGCAAATACGTAGGTACCTAGTTCTTTCAATTGTATTCAAGATGTTGACCGATAAAGAAGCAATTGGATAATAGATACAATCTACATACGTATCAACGTCTGCAGTGCTCGTGTGTGATTACTTGATTAGTAACTATGACAGCGTAAAAAATGTATTCGTGTAGTCTGGTGCTTTTGTGGAACGTTCTCTTTTACTTTTATAAGTTTCAATATATCATCAATCGCCTGTTTTCGTCTACTGCTGGACATGGGCCTGTCCAAGGGCAAGCCACTGAGTCTGATATTCAGCTGTATTCAATCACTATCAGCCAGCCACCTTGCGGATATCTTCATTTCACAGTTGCTTAGTTACAATATGTGTGACAGTAACTACCGTCCTACTAAATTATAGATTTTATAACGAAGCCTTTTTTATGGCATAAGCCGGTAAACGAGCAGACGGATCACCTGATGGTAAGAAATCGGCGTCGCCCATGGACACCTGGAACACCAGAGGCGTTACAAGTGCGTCACCGGCTTTTTGGGGATTAGGAGTTTTAGGATCGTTGGGGATTCGATTGTTGGGGATTCAGGGATTGGGGAGATTGGGGAAGGGTAAGGTAATTGGGTCTCCGGTAACCTCACTCACACGACGAAACACAACGCAAGCGTTGCTTCACGTCGGTATTCTGTGAGGCCGTGGTATCACTCCGGTCAAGCCGACCCATTCGTGCCGAAGCATGGCTCTTTCACACTTAGCCTTACTTTTTACTGTTACTGCTGTATAAGGTTGCTAAGCCGACAAATGGTTCCTGTTTCTGTACTAAATCAATGTTTAGTTTCTTACCTAATAAATAACTTGACTGTTTGTACCTGGTAAAGTGGTAACAAATGAGTACAATGACTCATATCATTTATTAACCAACTTTATATATGGTTCTTGCTAATCAAGTCAATATGGGCTCATGATTACCATACAATACTCGACAAAGGATGGCGTTCGCAGGTAATGTGAAGTCTTGGTAGTTTTAATGGGTACTTATCTACCTTCCTTTAAGTATGTAGTATAGAAAAACTTGAAAAACAATAATTCATTTTTATGTAACTCCTATGTGACACCCTTTGGATGGTAGCGTGATATTTGATAAATGAACTATCCAATACAAATAATTTTATATATTTTTTTTTTATAAATTACATTTCTTATTCTCCACGGACTCTTGTCCGTGCCCTTGTCATTCCATTTTCTTTTAATTTACAGTCTAAATTAATTGTTACAGTAATCTTACGTTCTACATTAACCACATTTTTTTTTCTCAAAGAAGTTGTGTCTAATATCTACCTATGTATACACAATACATGTTTTACTACATTTACATTAACCTTACTGGATCGGCCCACACGCGCGATGAGCGAGCCGACCTGCTCCAGCAGAAGGCGCCCGTTCACGAGCATGACGTGAGGGCCAGCAATCGGTCCGATCAACCATTTCGTAGGGAACGGAGCGTGTCCCTTCGTTCAGCATACTCACCATGGAATCCTGATATTTCATGAATGTCAAAAAACTGTTCTGAAATAGTGCTAAATAGTGCCCAAAGGAAAAAAATAGTGCTCTTGTACTTGCGAAGTTATAGCCATAGTTCGATGAGTATGCTGGACGAAGGTTTCGCCCAGCATACTCACCTCCGTCCGGAGAATCTGTATACGCTTCAAACATAATTCATACTTCAAAAAATAGTTCCCAAATAGTGCCAAACGGTGCCCAAAAAGAAAAAACAGTGCTCGAATAACTTCGGAGTTATAGGCTTCGTTCAGTGAGTATGCTGGGCGTAGGTTCTACGCCCAGCATACTCACCTCAGTGCGCGAATATCGAACGAGCTATAGGTACAATTTACGTCTCAAAAAATTGTGCTTGAAATAGTGCCCAATATCAGTCCAATTTTTGCTTGACTTTTGAC